TATTTATTTATTTAAATTGAGTTTAATGCGTTCCTATGGGGTTTTCAGTTTGGAGATTAGGGCCATATTCATCGCATTGATTAGGATTGAGTAGTTATTTATGTCAGTAGTGGCATTTGTGGCTCCTATGATTGAATTTTTTAAGGACTCCCCCTCAGCGGAGCCAAAGAAGCCTTCTAGTTTGTTGTGGGTTTCCTCAGTCCAGTGTATTCTCTTTTGTTTGAAGCTTAGACATTTATCTTGGAGATGAGGTTTTGCACTCAGATGGACAAACTGTGAAAGTAGGAGGGTGGTATCAAGGGGCAGATGGTCACTATCCAGCCTTGGTTCTACAGAAAATTCCAGTACCTCTCTAGATAAAGAGTGGGAGATTAGTACAAAATCCACAGCACTGCTTCCATGTCCCGATATGTAGGTGAATTCAGGGCGTTTGTCATAGCGGGGGTTCCTGTTTAATATTATAAGACCAAGGCGAGTCACCATTTGGATCATACAGATGCCACCATAATTCATCTTATTATCTTTGGACATTCTGTCGTAGCTAGGGGCAAAGATCTTTTTCAACTGCCCCCCGTGAACTAGAAGAAAAGAGTGCCTAATCTTGCTTTAGGCTCAAATAACAGAGCCAGGAGGCAGTGGAAGACAGGAGGACCTGGCGTGCTCTGGTCCATGGGGCCACAAAGAGTCGGATACGACTTAACGACTAAGCAACAACAACAATCTTGCATTAAAGTCCCCCATTATGAGTAGCTGGACTCTAGGCAGTTTGCATTCCAGTCCTATTATATAATTTTCCAAGTCTTCCCAAGCTTTTCTGAGATGAGAAGATATAAACATTGACCAACAAAAGGTTCTTAGGCCCAAAAGCTATATGCCTGGCCATTGTATTTTAGACATTTACCCCGCATGACAATTTTTTTGCTAGACATTGGCTTTTTGCGATCGCTATAGCATTCGCAAAACAGTGATTCCTATGGGGGAATTTCGCTGGACAATGTTTGGTCCCTGCTTCGCAAACTGATTTTCACTAGATGACGATTTTGACAGCTCCCTCCTTGCTCACAAACAGGTATTTTCGGGACCTAAGCTTCGCAAGACAGCAACTTAAACAGCTGATTGGTGGTTCACAAAGCAGCTTTCCTATGGCCGAGCTTCGCTAGATGACGATTCTTCCCCATTGGAACGCATTAAACAGGTTTCAGTGCATTCCAAAGGGAAATGCTTTTTGCTAGACAATGATTTCGCTAAACAGCGATTTCAGTGGAATGGATTATCATTATCTAGCGAGGCACCACTGTATTGCTATACAATGCGTACATATACATGCATATCTCCGTAAACATGTGGTCCTATATATGTATTAATAAGAGAAAAAGAATCAAAGCCCGAAGAATTATTATATTGAATTCTAAAAAGAGAAGTGGAAACAAGGGGGTGAGGAAGGGGGAAAGAAATTGGGGGGAAAAAACTTAGCCAGAACCAGGAAAACCAAAGCTTCTCTAAAGAGAATCTTTAACTGAAGTTGAAATAATTTGAGTAAAGGGGATAGTTCTGGAGTAATCTGGTAAATATTCCAAGTAATCCTTCATCATATACTGCATAATGGAGGGATCCTGAAGAGGGAAACTTCTAAAATGTTGTTGAGCTTCATAAGGGAGAACATGGCTGCATAGTTATTTCTAGACATTCAGTATTAAGAACTTTAAAAGTCATCCCTACCATTTGAATTGAGTAATCAATCTGGAAGCAAATGCTTTCTCAAAATTCACATAGTCTGCTCTTTGCAGCCTACAGCAAATAAATCTGGTGGCCAGAATTTGGAACTGAGCTGCAGTTTCAAAATAATTCTTCAAAGCCTATCATATACAGAATAGATAATGGTGATTCAAATTGGATATGGTTAAAGGAATTGAATCTGATGCATCAAGGATCCGATTAGCTCTATCAATGAAAGAACAGAGCCAACAATCCAGTTAAATGATTTTGAGCCACCATTGTTGTTTAATCAACCCTTCTTATAGCACAGCATTTTCCTTTAGCCTTTGAACTTCAGCAGATCTGTATCAAGGACAACAGAATCTTAGCACATCAATTAGGTGTAGGTGCTTTAAAAAAACGGCTGAAATCCTGTTGCTTAGCATATAATAGAATTTATAGAGGAGTTGACTCAATAAATCCACATGGACTCAATGGTTTTACTCTAGTTGTGACTGTGCTAAGCAATAGGATTTCACCGAACACTGAGTAAAAGAAATTAAAAAGGAAATGAAAATTTATTTATTATTTATTTATTTCTTCGATTTATATACCGACCCCATTAGCACTGAGACAGTTTATAAAAAGTGTGATATGAACAGAAAATTAAAATAAAAACAATAAAAACAAGTAACCAATAAACATTAAAAACAGATGATGTGAACCAGTTAGAGCAGACAAAAAAAAAAAAAAAGAATGGAGGATCAATTGGCATCGGTGTGCAGAGCCTCCCTGAAAAACGACATCTTCAGTTTCCTCTTAAATGTCCACAGGGAGGGGACCAGGTGATGCTCCTCCTCCAGAAGCTGGTTCCACAGAGATGGAGCTGCCACAAAGAAGGCCCTACCTCTTGTTGAAGACTTGCAGACTTCCATGGGGACGGCAACCCAGAGGTGCCTCACCTGAGATTATCTGGTGACATGTACTAGATCGTCTCATTTATGACTGATGGTGAATTATCTTCGTTTAGAGGATGTACCTAAATGATTCCCCATATATATCTGTTCTGCATTACGAATAATATTTCCATTTCTGATCTTTGAATTAAGATTTTTTAAATAAACTATTTTTATGGTTGTATGGTTAATATTGTTTTATTTCACATTATCCTGGTAATATACTGTGTATTTTGCTAAACATGCAAAACTTTATGTTAAGACATTAATTTTATTACATTTATAATTGTGCGGCTATGTTAACAATAACTAATGTCTTTCTGTTTTACAGATTTCGTATAAAAAAGATCTCCAAGATACTCATAGGTACACAGAAGTTTCAAACAGACCTGATGTAATGATGGCAACCCAGTTAACGAAAATAATAAGCAATGTAGGAACTTTTTCCTTTTTTGTCATTAATGAAAATTTGGCAGTTTAATTTTGGTACAGAAGAGGAAACGTAGCAATTGTACAGAGTAATAGAAATTTTTGAGTTTCAAAAGGCCAGATAAAAGCAAAAGGGCTCAGTTCCTCAAAGTGAACAATTTTCAGTAATAGATCACATTCCATATTCTGAAAAAAATTATATAGTCTAGGTGAGCATCATGTATCTTTATTTGCAAATACAAAACATATAAGTCTACTGCCTAAAATTCATTTAATAATATTATTTTATTTGGGATTTTAAAGTGTCTTGCTTGTTAATAATACCTACCCACTATTTTCATGTTTAACTGTATTTAAAAAAACATTGATCTATAACTACTTTTTAACTTTACAATTAAAATTATTTAGTTTTCTTCATTCAAGTGGTTAATTTAGCAAATTGTGCAGCAATGAAATAGATATAAACATTCTTTAAAACATGGCCAAACCTTTAAAAACAGATTAAAATTATTATTTTTTTCAAAAACCCCAATATTATTCAAATGTACATAAGAAAAAATAGGCAAGTTTAAAACTACTTTTAAAAATCTGCCTGCCAGATGAAAACTTGACCAAAATGGAACCTAGCTGATTTCCCTTAGGAGGGTATTCTGCAGTCAGGGTGTCACTGTGAAGAAAAATCCATGTCTTGAGTACTCACAAACCTAGCTTCTCAGGCTGGAAAGACATGCATAAGGTCCTTTATTGAGGATCCCAAATTCTGCGTAGGCTCCTGTGGGAGGAGGTAGGCTCTCAGATATCCTCCTTCCAATCCATTTAGAGCTTTGTAGGTCAAACACTAAGCTGCCACCAACCATTCCCTATAAGAAGTCACACAGACCAGGGATGGATTTTTAAACAATAAAAAGAATAAGGTTTATTTAAATACACACAGGGAAAAATAAACAATCAGGTGAATGAAATAAAGTAACGTGGCTTAGTTTCACTCATACATACACACAGTTTGGTTCACACAGAACCTTAACTTAAAGCACAGACCCTGAACCTATCAGTTCTGGCTAACCAACAGACACCTGAACCTATCAGGTTGGTACTCTGACACACAGTAGTACCCTGTCTGACACACAGACTCCCACAACAGCTTCTTCTTCCCAGCTGCTGCTTCGTCACAACCCAGTGTCTCTCAGCGTCTCTCAGCATCTCCTTGTGTTCTCTTTCCACACAGGCATCACATATTTATACAGTACAGCCCCTCCTCCTGATGTCCCGCCTTCCACTCCCCATAGGATGGAACTTTCCCTCCAAACCCATGACAGACAGGTAACATCAGTGCTGTATGTAACAGAGGTAGGCTCTCAGATATCCTCCTTCCAATCCATTTAGAGCTTTGTAGGTCAAAATCAATGCTGGTTGGATAGCTCAGTGGTTTAGATATCTGGCTTCAGAACCAGATGTTAGGAATTTGATTTCCCACTGTGCTGCCTGGGAAAAGACTCAGCCTGTGTAGCCATGGGCAAGCACTAGGAAAAGACTCAGCCTATGTAGCCATGGGCAAGCTGCATAGTCAATAGGCATTTCCAGAAAAAAGGGAATGATAGACCATTTATCAGTATTGTCAGCCTAGACAACCCTGGAAAAAATCACCAAAAGTCAGAATTGACTTGATGGCAGACAATTTTGGAAAAAAAATGTAGCTTGTTTGAGATCAGAAAGAAGACAGCCATTTCTTGTTCTCTTATTTCCTATTCCTGTGCTCCCTATCCCTCTATTTCATATATTTTATATTCATCCTATTCTTCTTTCTCTCTGTGTACACCTTTGTTCCTTTTCACTCATCCTTAGTTTAAAAAAAGGTGAAAAAGCAAGAACTGTCTCTTTGAAGGAGGAAAACAGGGAATCAAAAATCTTGTGCTTTTTCTTTTGGACAACTGTCTTTCTGTTGCAGTGCTAAAAGGGGGAGGCCAAGAAATAATGGGTTTCTTGGGAACATCTGGTTAGTCACTGTGGGGAAGAGTGTGATGGAGTAGCCAGACCTTTGATCTGGCCAAGCAGGGGTACTTTTACATTCACAGTACATATAGAAATCGGAGGCACCAATGCCTGTTTTTGTCTTTAGGCTCTGACCAGACTCTGATGTCTTGCTTTCTAAGGTCGTTCAATTGGTTACTCAACCTGTCTAGCTCTGCCACTTTCAGAGTCTCCAAAAATGTTGGCCTGACTAAAATTTCACCTTGTGTAGCCTCTTCATCCTCTTCTGATTCTCAGACTAACAAAATTGAAAGGATAGCTATTGGGATTATCTGCCGTTTAAGGTATAGTCATGCTCATTGAGAGACACTGTGACGTAGTGGATAGAAACACATTGCAGAATAACAATGTTGAATCACTCCTTGAAAACCTCAGATAGCTCAGAAATGCTGTTAGAGTCACCAGAAGTGACATGATGGCACAGAACGTAACTCATTTGCCTTTCAGTGTGGCATCTGAGTCAATATTTGGAAGAGCCATTTGTATTTTTTTACTTTAATTTTTTGTTTAATTTTTTTTGAAAATAATTGGAAATTGGTAGCACTGATACTTAGGCACAGATTGGGCTTCATTTTGCTTTTAATCTAGAATGTTTTTCCAAATAAAATTGTACTTCTGTTGAAGCCTGGAAATTGTTGATTAGAGTAGAGTACTGTATTAGCAAAAGTCATGACAGCAGAAATCACTAGGTAATATTTGCTTTGTTGTTGTTTTTAAGGCATATGTTTTTGGTTCATAAAACCAAAATATCAAGAACAAAAAATATGATTATAGCTAGCATTCAAATAATTTAATTTTTGTCTTAAAGGCTGAATATACAAAAGGAAGAAGAGAAATGAATAAGGAGCCAACAGTGCTTGGAAGACCAGATTTCAACCATGCTCAAGAAGTTTCTAAATTTTTAAGCCAAGTAAGATTTCGAAGTAATTACTCAAATAATGTGTCTAACTTTCAGAAGTGCAATCATATTTCACTGTTCAGACAGCAAGACATGAAAGCTTCAGGATAATGTTTCCATAAGCGTTACCCACAGAATTCCTGTTACATGTTGAACAAACAGTAGCTATAACCTCAAGCATTACCCACAGAATTCCTGTTACTGTACATGTTGAACAAACAGTAGCTATAACCTGCATTTGAATAGAAAATCTGCTTCATGCACAATTAGAAGATGATAGGATTAACATGTTTTGTTACCATAGATAGGACAAGTAAATAGTAGGGCTGCATAGTGATGTCTGAATTTTTTAAAATTTAATTTAAAAAACATTTTGCTTCAAAGCTGATTTTCAGAAGGGCAGATTTACTTTGGCTAAATAGGAGCTCTGTTTTCAAACTTATAATGAATAATGGAGACTCTCGTTGCATCCTGAGATCATATGTGAATTGTGCAGCTAATAAGGTAAAAATACACAATGGTATTATGCCATGGCACTCAGTGACAAAGTATCACTAAGTGTCAAGGGTTCTGCAATAAAAGCAATTGAGGGTTTTAGAGGAAGTTTGTTTTAATGCATTTAATGCTTTCCCCTGAACTTTTCTGGGAAGTACTTTTAAACATTAGTGCCCATTGCATTATGACATTTCTTATACTTCCCAAGTACATGGCTGTGCAGATTACAGCAGTGTATTGTCTTACATGTGCTCATCTCAAGAACTGATAAGGGCAGAATCCTACTTGGAATTACAGAGCACAATGTCCTTGGAATGTAGTGCACATTTCCATCTCTAACTTCTAGCTGCATGAGCTGGAGATCAACCCATTTCAACAGAATGGGCTTATGCTTGTAGAGAGAGAGGGTGAATATCTCCTTGTGCAAGCAGTATAAAGTGCCATCTGCTCATGCTGATAGATAGATTGATAAAACTTTATTATGGTCAAAAGACCAGACACTTTTTTTAAAAAAAAAGACCAGCTCATGCTGTTTACCACTGCATGGGCAAATAGAACAAAGAGAATTCTCCTCTGAACATTTGGGGTGCATTCATTTTTATTGTATGACTTAGATGAAATCCATGAGGGAAGTGAAACAAAAGCTTATTTGGAGGCTATAAACAAAATAAATGCAGTGAAGTCAGTGTGGGGTGTACTTTAATTGAAGTGTGATTCAGCTGATTAGCTTTATGATAGGAAGACAATGTATTCAATCCAGTTATGTAACGTAGCAGAGTCACTAAATCACTGGAACTTACATGAGTGTTGATTTATCAATTTTCTGTTGACTCAATGGGCACTTGGGCTGTTAGATACATTTACAGCAGTTGCTGTTACTTTGTTTTTGATTTTTCAGTAACATTTTGTGAAGCAGTGCAGACAACTGCTATTTAAAAAGTTAGAAGTCTTATTGCTTTTATGGAGTCTGTGTCTACTGCTCCATGACCCCAAGAGCAGTAGACTGATCTTGGGATCATAAACAATTTATTAACACAAGGGACTGTGATAATTAATATCAGCCAAGTGTCTTGTCACAAACCATGTGTGTGGTTTGTGAGTGTGTGTTGTTGATTTGAAGCTACTACTTTACACTGATGAAAAAGAACAATCCTTCTCCTCAGTCACCACATTGCTTTGCTACTTGAATAACAGGTTATAGGAGCATGTCTAGGACAGGGAAAATATAGTCATGGAACATTTGTTACTGAATTTTTTTAAAAAATTAATCAAGTCATGTGGAAAAGAATAAAGATCTACTTTATGATACTTGTAAGTTAAATCATACAATTAAAATATCATTTACTTTAATCATATACACTAGCTGGAAGCTGGGAGGTTATGTTTTCCTCTTTCTTTTTAAAGCCAGAGTAATAAGGTTTTGCTTGAATAATCCCATTATCACATTAACAATTTGCTCTTTGTTAATAATCCTTTAAAATACTAATTTACATCTTACACTCAATCAGTGTGGAATTAATTGTTTGGGGGATAGTTATTACAGCTTGGATTATGTGTGAAGGTAATTCTGTAGTGCCCTATCACTTTAGAAATGCAAGGTCTTTTACTGTATCAGGCCAAAGACATTGGGTGGCAGAAAAGCTTTTTCTGAGAGGTTTATACTCCAGCGTCCTTTGCCATGTTACGTTGTGATATCTTTTGTGACATGGTGATGGATCCTTGGGCTCCCTTCTTAACCACCATGCTGTTTCATTGTCAGAATCCTTGTGAATAACTACCTTGAGCAGCTTATGTAAGGTGGACTAACTCTGGCCTTTATGGACTAGAGACCGAATTATGTATTATCCTTTTTCAAATCATACTGAATTAGTACAGTGGGGTCTTGACTTGAGAACTTAATCCGTATTGGAAGGCGGTTCTCAAGTCAAAAAGTCTGTAGGTCAAGTCTCCATTGACCTACAGTGCATTGAAAACCGATTAATCCTGTAACAGGCCGTTTTTGTTCCATTTTGGTTTTTTTCTGGTCTGTAAGTCAAATCTCAGGCTGCAAGTCAAACCTAAATTTTGCAGCCAGAGAAGTCTGTAACTCAAAAAGTCTGTAAGTCAAGCCATCTGTAAGTCAAGGGTCCACTGTACTCATATGAAATATTCCTTCTAGATAGATGTAGCATTTCAGGGCATAGTATATTTTCCCCTGATATCTTGGTTATTCACATCTTTTTAGTATTTCTTTTATAATAAGCATAACAAAGCACTTTGTGTTATTATAAGTCTATTTCATTCTGTGGATAACTTTCTAAAGAGCCAACTATCTGGCTTAATTTTTGTTGTTGTTGGAGGAGGTATACTGAATGGCATATGGTGTTGTTTTTGACATATGAAACATAATATCCTGGTTCTAGAATGTCCATGTAGTACAATAAAAATGTACATAGTTGTAACACAATGGCTCCCAGATTTCAAGCATTGTGCTCCTTTTGAAAACATTTTGAGAAATGTTCCATTGCTTCTTTACCATAATTTAATCACTTTTTTTTAAAAAAAAAGTTTCCTAATTCAAAATGAAAAATAAACACAAAAATCCAATAAAATATTGTAAATTAATTTTATGGAATGGAATTTGAAAATTAAAAAAAATATTTATGCTGAATTTGTTTTAATTAATGGAAACAATCTTATGTCTCCCTTTGTAATTTTGTTATGCCTGACCTTAAGTTATGCACCTGTCAGCTTGTAAACCAATGCTTTAAAGCACTGTTTTCACTTGAAGTATATGGCATTTGTGCAAATTTAGCAACACTGTTCACAGTTCATTAATTTAGTTTTGTTTGATGGTATTTCATGGGAATCATTCATTCTCTTTTTACAAACTAGATGTTTATATTTTGATCATAATTAACTTAATTTGACTTAAATTAATTGCAGCCCCACCCACACAGAGGGTTGATAGGCATCCAAACGTGTAGACTTTAGGTATGGGATACATTCCCTTAATGATTGACGACATTATCTTTCAAGTTTCCTCTTATCTCTTCTTTTGTAACCACTTTTTTCCAAACAAGCTTTTTGCAGTTTTTTACTTTAAGCTTGAGAGTTTACTGCCATCATGTGTTCTTTTTGCTCATCTTCCTCCCTTGTTTTACTGGTGGAAGTTAGATGTTATAATAACAGGAGATCTGCTTTCGATAACAGCAACTGTATAGCATCTTCCTCTACCCAATACTTTGGTAAGATCTGATGATGCAAAGCCTATGATAGTAAAAGAGGGGAGTTTCCACCCTACTTCTTTTCTGTGGCTTGCAGTGATAGAGAAGCTTTAAGTACAAGAATGTCACATGACAGCTTTCCTATCACAAGATATTAAGGTGGAGAGGCAGATAGTGTAAGGCAGGGGTTTTAAACTCAATTTACCTGGGGGCCACTAGAGACAGAGTCTGGGTGAGGCTGGGCCGCATCAGATTTTCCGCCTAGCGGAGCAAGAGCCCGAGGAAGCCGCCCAGGAGTTTCTTTAGCCAACAGACAGGTGGGCGGGCTGGCAGGCTGCAGTTCTGGATGGAGGGTGCAAGAGGTGCTGTCTTCGGAGAAAGCCAGCGAGCGAGGCAAGGCTTTTTTTTTTTACTTTTGACAGCAGAGGATGTGTGGGCACTTTGGGGGGCAGGCAAGGCGAGGGCCACAAACTATCATCTGGGGGGCCACAAATGGCCCCTGGGCCGCATATTTGAGACCCCTGATGTAAGGTTTCATTTTTGCAGCAGGATCAATGTCCTAACGTCTTGTTCAACTCTTGTTTCTCTTCTGTGAAGGTGAGACCAGGAAAGTATGCTTCAGTGTTTTCTGGATCTAAGCCTATAGTATGCATTGTTCTGTCCATGTTTAATAACTTGGCATACAATTACATAATGTGCAGTTTAGAATAGTCTGGAGAAAAATATCTGTGATAAACTGTACAAACCCCTGCACTTATTCCCTGTTGTATCCTGAAGTGATGAATTTGTTTTTCAGGTTAAATATAAAGAGCAGTTTATGAAGGATATGAAGAAATACTGCTTCAATCCTGTTGAAAGTGCTTCTTTCAAGCAGGCACAACTGGCATCCGCCTTAGCAAGCAATGTAAGTAGGGTTGTTTTGGACATTTCTGTAGAAAATGTGAGTCCTTATTTGTGTTGAAGCTGCTTGGTGTGCATTTTATTTTCCCATTAGCATTTGCTTAGCCTTTAATTGGAAAGGTCTAATCTCTTCCAGAGGATTAAATCCATTCCTAGGATGGAATGCTTTGTGCTGATCTTTTACAACACAATAGTAAATGAGTGCCATCTAATGGCCGTTGTAAATTTCAGGCAAACCTGAAAAACTCAACTCTATTTTTAACATTGAAAGTGAAGTTGTGCGTTACTATTCATTCTTTTGGTTGTTTATCCCAGTGTATTTTCTTCTTGTAGGTGAAATACAAAAAAGACTTGGAAAACCTTCATGAGCCCACATCTGCCTTTCCAAACTTGCTTCATTTAGATCATGTTTTGAATGCCAGCAAGATTCACAGTGACGTAAGTTGGTCTTCTTGAAACCATCTCCTTTTGAATACGGTTGTAAATGTAGGTATATTTGATATTAAAGAGTCCCTTCCAAAACAGATCCTGAAAGCAATTTTTGCAGAGTCTTTTTGGGCCTGTGTCCTACTCAGCTGTTCCACTTGCTTCACCCCAGCTCTGCCCATGGAAAGCCATCCTTGTTGTTGTTTAGTCATTAAGTCTTGTCCGATTCTTCGCGACACCATGGACCAGAGCACGCCAGACCTCCTGTCTTCTACTGCCTCCTGGAGATTGGCCAAATTCATGCTGGTAGCTTTGATGACACTGTCCGACCATCTCATCCTCTGTCGTCCCCTTCTCCTCTTTCCTTCACACTTTACCAACAGCAAGGTCTTTTCCAAGGAGTCTTCTCTTCTCATGAGATGGCCAAAGTATTGAAACCTCAGCTTCAGGATCTGTCCTTCCAGTGAGCACTCAGGGTTTATTTCCTTCAGAATGGATAGGTTTGATCTCTTTGTAGTACAGGGGACTCTCAAGACTCTCCTCCAGCACCTTAATTCAAAAGTATCAATTCTTTGACGGTCAGCCTTCTTTATAGTCCAGCTCTCACTTCCATAAATCGCTACTGGAAAAAGCACAGCTTTGGCTATGCGGACCTTTGTCGGCAAGGTGATGTCTCTGCTTTTAAAGATTCTGTCTAGGTTTGTCATCACTTCCCCCCCCCCCCAAGAAGCAGGAGTCTTTTAATTTTGTGGCTGCTGTCACCATCTGCAGTGATCATGGAGCCCAAGAAAGTAAAATCTGTCACCGCCTCCATATCTTCCCCTTCTATTTGCCAGGAGGTGATGGGACCAGTGGCCATGATCTTAGTTTTTTTGATGTTGAGCTTCAGACTATTTTTGGTGCTGTCCTCTTTCACCCTCATTAAGAGGTTCTTTAATTCCTCCTCGCTTTCTTCCATTGTAGTGGTATCGTCTCCATATCTGAGGTTGTTGATATTTCTTCCGACAGCCTTAATTCTGGCTTGGGATTCATCCAGTCCAGCCTTTCTATCAGCCATCCTATCAGCACATTATAATATATTGCAAAAGTGTGTTATTCCCCAGATTTTCAAATGCTGCAGACAGAGGATTAGAAGATAGAGTCCTGTCTTTCTACTAAGCACTCCACAACATAATGAATGCCATGGTTTATGACAGGGTTGACCCAAGACCATTTATTGCCTGAAGCGGAGCAACAAATGTTACTCATTCAAGAACAGGTACATAGTACCCATAGTACTCCAGGGAAATTATTTTGGGCCCTGAGGCAGAAATTCCCTGTGACCTCTTCCTATTCTTGGCCAATAATATGCAGTAATAACAAACTAGGTAAAGGTAAAGGTTCCCCTTGACAATTTTTGTCCAGTTGTGTCTGACTCTAGGGCACGGTGCTCATCCCCGTTTCCAAGCCATAGAGCCAGCGTTTGTCCGACGACAATATTCCGTGGTCACATGGCCAGTGCGACTTAGACACAGAACGCTGTTACCTTCCCACCAAAGTGGTCCCTATTTATCTACTTGCATTTGCATGCTTTCGAACCGCTAGGTTGGCAGGAAATAACAAACTAAATAATCAACAATTTGCTGTCTTATCACAGCACTTAAAATCTGATGATTCAGATAGCTGCCTCAGTCAGCCTAATGGTAGGACTGGCTCTGTTTTATATTTTGTTTGTTTTGCTTTTCATTTTCTCCCAACCCTTCTTCCTTTTTAACCTTTTCCATGTAAAGAATGCATGTTGTTGCTTGATGACTACAGTATTAATGCATTGAGCAAGCTTCTGTGATTTAGCAGTATATTCCAGTTTTTATACGTGGCTTGATTTACCTTGACTTCACTTGCTGCAGTGTCAGCAAAACCTACTGACAACAAAATGCTTCAAATCTCTGAGTGATGAATGCTGTTTCAGTGTAATCGGCTGGTTAAGAATAAAATCTCTTTGTGTGAGGAAACCGGGGGAGTAGCCATGCCCTTTTCCATACTCAGTTAAGCACCAAATCAGGTGTGTGTGTGTGTGTGTGTGCGCGCGCGCGCGCGCGCGCACACACACACACACACACGCATGCGCGCGCGCGCGCGCGCGCACACACACACACACACACGCATGCGCGCGCGCGCGCGCGCGCACACACACACACACACACGCATGCGCGCGCGCGCGCGCGCGCATGCGTGTGTGTGTGTGTGTGTGCGTGTTGCTGTGGTGTATGAGCATTCTTATTTTCATCTCCAGGCTTCCAAATTGATTGTATGCTACATTTGAGGAATGTTTCCTAGTGGACACTTTCTGTTTAGTTTTCTCTACTGCCTGAAAGGATAGTAGTCTTAAAGTTAGGCATTTTACACTTACTGCTTTGTTATGGCCAGGCTCAATTCCTGTAAATGTCATGGTTGTAGTGACTGCGAGGATATTTACAAATAGAGTGGTGCCTCAACTTACAACCATAATCCATTCCAGGAGATGGATGTAACTCAAAATGGTTGTAAGTCAAAGCACCATTTCCCATTGAAATGCATTGGAACATGATTAATTCATTAGGGCCAAAAAAACAACAACAACCCAAAAATAAATAAATAAAATAAAGCACACAGCAAGCTCCATTGCTAGGGCTTAAAAAGAACAACCAAAAACAAAGCACACAGCAAACTCGATTGCTGGGGCTTTAAAAAAAAACTAACCAAAAATAAAGCACACAGCAAGCTATGACTTTTAAAAAACAGACCAACCAAAAATAAAGCACACAGCAAGCTCCGTTGCTAGGGCTTAAAAATAAAAAATAAAGCACAGAGCAAGCTCTGTCGCTGGGGCTTTAGAAAAAAGCAACCACAAATAAAGCACAGAGCAAGCTCCGTCGCTGGGGCTTAAAAAAAGGAAAACCAAAAATAAAGCACACAGCAAGCTCTGCTACTGGGGCTTTAAAAACAAAAACAAAAACAAAGCACACAGCAAGCCCCATCAGAAGGTGCTGGGGCTGAAAAAATAAACACACAAAAGCACATTAAAAAATCTCAGCACAGAAACATAACCCCCCCAGCCCAAACCCACCCTGCAAAACGCTGTAAATGTACTTACTCAGAAGTAGAAAGGAGCTCCAGGCAGTCCCAAGCCTCCTCCAACGCATACACTTTAACCGTTGGGGCAAAAGAGGTACAAAGAAGCTCTTTGTCAACCAATGGTTAGCCCTCTAATTTGAATCCCCCGCCTTTTTTCCCTGCATCTTTTGATCGCAACTCGAAGCTCCAGCTGCAAGTTGAAGTAAAATTTTGCAGCCAGAGCAGGTCGCAACTTGAAATGGTCATATGTTGGAATGGTCTTAAGTCAAGGCATCACTTAGTACACACTTAGAGGCAGGCAGATCAGGGATTCCTGAGACCTCTCAGGAATGTTTCAGTTATTGTAAAACCTCAGGTGCTCTGTGTGGTTGATATGTTTAGTCCAAAGTGCCACTAAGAAAGCCATTTTGAGCCCTTGATATAACTTTGAGCTAAGAGTAATGAAGCATTTTAGTAGACCATCAGAATGCAAGTGAAGAAACAGGTGTAATAAGTTTGACAGATAAGTAATTTTCCCTCAGTACTGTTGTGCCCTTTCAGTGTTGTTGTGCAGCAGAGTTTTATGATTTGGAGTCTTTTGCCATCTGTCCCAACAGGACCCTTCCTGGCTTTTTGTCATGTGTCTGCAAGTTCTGAAGTTTAGTGATGCTTGTTAATCCATCTTTGCCACCAGAGACAGACATAGCTTTTTTAGCATGAAGAGCACAGAGGGACCTTTCTGGTGATAGGAACTGCTTGACAGTGGAACAGATGTCCTTGGAAGGTGGCTGCCTATCCTTCATTTTTAAGCAGAGGCTGGGTGTCCATGTCTCAGGGTGTTTTTGCCGAGCATCTGCTACATTGGCAGAAGGTTGAAATAGATGATCCTTGAGGGTACAATTCTGTGATTCTGTAAGCATCTTTTACTAGTTTAGAGTGATACCCAGTTATGAGCCCAAAGCTAGGGATAGCTTTGCTTCAGTTAACAAGACTCTGTAAATCCCATGTTTGGATTACTACAGTGCCTTGTCTCTGTGGCAGCCTTTCAAAATGTTTTGGAAATGTTGACTAGTCACAGCCGTTCTCAAAGGGGGGGGCATATGGCCCCTCGGTGGGTGCTGGTACATTTGGAGGGGGACACAGAACAGAAACAATTCTTCATACACCCCTTTATAAGGTTCATTATGCAACTATTCTCAATGGGGGGGCATATGGCCCCTCAGTGGGCGCTGGCACATTTGGAGGGGGACACAGAACAGATTCTTCACACACCCCTTTATAAGGTTCATTATGCAACTCATGAAGGCAAGAGGAGAAGGGGACGACAGAGGATGAGATAGTTGGACAGTGTCATTGAAGCTACCAACATGAATTTGACCCAACTCCGGGAGGCAGTGGAAGACAGGAGGGCCTGGCGTGCTCTGGTCCATGGGGTCACAAAGAGTTGGACATGACTTAAGGATTAAACAACAGAAATGCAACTTATACAATCGTGATTTGGCCTATAGTAGAGTACAGCTTCCAAATTTCTGAATGGGACAGGGAATTATGGATGCATTCTGCCGTCGTTTTAACATCTTCACTAGCTCACGGTATGTTTCAAGGTTCCATTGAAAGTGCTGCTTTTGACTTTTGAGACCCTCCATGGCTTGCAACTATAAGATTTGAAGCCATCATATTTTTCCTACTTACCTGGATCCTGAAACCGTTATTAAAAAGCCTGCTTGAGATGTTTCTTCCAGGGGATGTACAGTGGGTTGTTAACAGTGAACTGTTCTTTTTGGATAGTATCCCTGTGTTATGAAATCCCTTTCCTAGAGAGAGCTTTTTGGCACCTATCTTAATGTTCTCTTGGTGCCAGCAAAAAATAGTTTGTTTTCTTGTTTCTTTCAACTCTTAGTGTAGCTTTTAGAATTAGCTTCCCCTCTTTTGATATATTTTCCCCCCCATTTTGTTCTGAGCTTAATTTAATGTCCCATCAGAATTATTTGTATTACTAATTTTATTGCTTTTAAATTGTGAATTACCCTGAGAACTTCTTGTATGATAGCAGATAGATAAGATAAATAAGTGAGTTTTGCTTAAAAGAAAGATTGCATAATATTTGCATCGTTCCACTAGGAGGCAATCAAAGACTGTCAAATCTAAGCATCTAATATTTCTGCAGTTCTGGATGTGTTCAGATTGTTATAACCCCAACATGGAGTCCAGTGTTCTGCATGAGATTTAGTACATGCTCCTTGGGCATTTTTAGTCTTCTATTCTATTAAAAACCTACCCCTTTTGGAGCAGGGTTCCATTAAATGTAAAAGATTGCTACTAGAAAGTAAAAAGAAGTGTTTTGCCATGTTTTGTGAAAGTGCTTCATGTGCAGTCTAGATCCAGCATTGAGTTCTGCGTCTATATTCATAAATCACAATGACTTGCTGCTCTGCTCCATATGTGCAACAGTAAAATATGTGCTCAATGCATGATTTTGAGAAGGATGGAACAGCCAAGGCCCAGATAAGATGTAGTGCTGAAAATCTTACAGTGCATTCACAACACTTTTTATTTATTGTATTTATTCATTTAAAATATTTTTGTTCTCCTAAAAAAAGGACCTGAGGCAGATTACATCATTAAATCTAAAAACTATGAATTATTCAAATATTTAAAAAATTAATAACGTAATATTGAAATGTTAGGTAAAGCATTACTGAAACAGATTTAGAAGCAACAAAATGCAAGCCATCTTTTCACAACTGTGCTCTGCAGTTCAGATTGAACTAAGATATATTTGCCTATTTATTTCAGTATGAATATAAGAAACTGTTTCAGAAGAATAAAGGAATGTATCATTTTGAGCCAAATACAGCTGAACAGCGACACCATAAGGAAAATGCAGTGCTCCAAAGTCAGGTGGGCCATAGTCTTCCCATTTCTAGAGTATACCTTGTGTTCCTCATACACTTCTGTTTGGAAGGCAATAGTCTATACAGAGAAAAAGTGATTATGATGCACTTTATAACAGCAATGAGAAGTCTCTCCATAGGTGACACTTTGTCTGGCAATTTTGAAATCTCTCCACAAGTGACACCTTGATTGGTGACTCTATTACATGTATAGATGAATGTACTATCCACTTGATCTTAGCCAAAAGACTGAGAAGCGATGATGAATGTACTATTAAAAATGTAATTTCCTTATAGTTTTGATGCATTGTCTGTTTTTTTAAGGTCAAGTACAAAGAGAAGTATGAAAAATCAAAAGGCAAGTCTATGTTGGAATTTGTGGATACACCATCATATCAAATTTCAAAGGAGGCTCAAAGTTTTCAAAGTGAGGTTGGTAGAATACTTCTGAAACTCATCACTGTAATATAGTCACCACCAGTACTGTAGTTACACTTGAATTAAGGATTATGGGTAGTTCTTGTATTATTGTGACAATGTATTAGTCATAATGTGAGTAGGTAGTTCAGGCTAATCTGAAGGCTGGTGTTCACTCACTGAGATTTTGGATTTGCTCTTCTTGAGCAGTAAATTAACTTGAAATAGCACCAACTTTTTTTCAAGACCCCACACTTTCAGAAGCTTTTTTCGGTGTTATATGGTATGTTTCAAGGAAACAAACTCAAAGTGTTGTTGGAACATAGAACCATGTGAACAGTTATTTTGATCTCAAGACTCAACCAACCAACCATGGATGTTACAATAGTTCCTTGGATGTCTTGGTTATATACTATATTTGTATTTGTATTCTTTCATGAATGTTGTAGGTTTCAGTGTGCCAGAACACATTGCATAGTATTGCATACGTTTTATAAGCAGTGCCAATGTGTATATATATTTTTTTACACAGAAAATGTATAGAAAAGAATATGAAGTCAAAGTCAAAGGAAGGGCAGCATTGGATTTAGACAAGACACCAGAATTCTTGCATGTGAAACATCTCACTAATCTTCTAAAAGAGGTAAAATATGTAAAGTTAAGAGATGAAAATGCTGCCTATAGTTATTCTAATGTATATAGCCAACTGTAGGCAAATTGTTCTAAACCGAAGTATGGACTATTCCTTTATTTATTTAGAAAATTAATAGACTGTCTTTAGGAAAACCTTCCTTTGATTCTCACAACATCAATATTCCTATAATTTCAGTCTGTCCTTATTCCTTGTGTGAGCCCAGGTGCTATGACAGAAGGGATGTAAAGAAGATCATATTACCAACATTCTTGAGCTTCCGTGTGTGCAGTAGCAAAACCAATGTTGACAACAATGGTTCTACTTCCTTTTTCTGTCCTTTTGGCATTCAGGTTCAATCTTGTATCCTATTTTATACAAATCCCATCTTGTTTTCATTGTACAGTAGCTTCTGCAGGTGAATGATAGCTGTAGTTTTGTTTTAAACACAGAGGTATCATGCTACATTGTTGTTAGAACAAGATGTTGGTTGCCAACGCACTTCAAGCTGCAATTTCTGGTTTGCTGGCCAATTGCAAACAATAGTTTGCCAATTCAAATTTCACATTGTAATTTAGTTTCAATAACTATTGTTTGAAGTGGTGTCTGAATTGAGTCTGTGCCTAGAAGATGAAGATACATGGACATAAATTGAGATGATACGTCTGGATTTGTCAGTCAAGGAGAAAAGTATAAGCTGTCTATATCCTCTTCTGGATTTCATCTGACATAATGCTGAAATAACTGTGACTTGCTTTTTCTGCCATGGGTAGCATTAAATTCTTCTGCATGTTCATTTCAATCACAAGTACTCATCATGCTATGTAACTTTGATTTGTGGATAAGTGTCATTTGTATAGCATTTAATGCATCTTAGCGAATAATGACAGCATTAGTAGAACTTGAGTGACAGGGTCATTTACTTGTCTGGAATCTGTATATCTACCATCCATAGCAGAAGCTCTTACAATTTTATAAAGTATCTGTGCAACTGTAATATTAGCGCATAAGAGGAAGGTGTGTGTGTTTTTTTCCTTTCCAGGAGCCAGGTAAAGGTTGTAAAGTAATCTTTTCAGACTACTTGCATCATACCTTTTGATTTCCCAATTCTATTTTAACTATGATAAACGTGCACTATCTAATTCATATTTTATAGAGATTTTCAAAGTATTCCTTCAAATATTTAATAAGAAGTTTTTCTTTTCAAGATCTTGCTCACAATTTAAAGCAGAGACATGCTATTTTTTTAAACCTTCAGAAAGAGTATAGAAAAGATCTGGAAGAAGGGATGAAAGGAAAAGGAATGATGGTGTTTGAAGATACGCCAGATTTGATTAGAGTGAAAAATGCAGCTCAGATACTAAATGAGGTAGGTTATGTTAGTAAAGGTTATTAATGTCATGGAAAGTGAGCCCTTCACAAAGCATCCAGTGAAATATATTCTTAGTTTTTGCAGTCTGTTGAAAAAGGACATGCTTTGAAACTGCTTCCACCTGTTTTTTTTTCTTTTTTAACAGAAGGAATATCGCAAGGATGTAGAAAATGAAATAAAGGGAAAAGGAGTTAAGCTTATTTCAGAGACTCCTGACATGCAAAGAGCGAAGAGGGCATCTGAAATCATTAGTGAGGTCAATAAAGTAAAATATCTAAAGCCTTGTTGCAGTCATCAGAAAATGTTGATCAATAAAACAAACACAAGACAAGTTCTATACACTTCTCAATATGACAGTAGTCCTTTTGGTTTTTGAGAATCATTGTAGAAATCTGTTGTTGTATAGCTTGTTTGAAGGAAATGGAAACTTACCAAGTGAAAATATGTAGAACACAGGTAGGGCATATGTGATTGTTGGGATGCAATCCCCATGAACCCTTCTTTGGCATAAGAGATTTCTAGAGTTGCAGTCCAGTCACATCTGAATGCCCTCTTTGTTCCCATTCCTGATGCAGAACACATAAGGTTTTATGTCACTTTGACCATTTGCCTTTGAATATGAAATTTATTTTTTAGGATGCATTCCTATGGTCACTTATCTGCACCTAATTGGTGCTAAATTCTTGGGACTGGTTTTGAATAGACATGTATTGGAGTGCGCTGCTGAGAATGGGATGCTCAGTATTAATGTGAAGAAATATAAATTCCAGATGCATTAATTTAAAACACTGCCCAACTTCTCTTTTAAACACTATAAAACAAATTGGGAAAGTTGAATTTGCTTTATAATATTCATTTTGCATTAATTATTTTTAATTTATTCAGTTGGCTGATCCCAAGTCATGTAAAAGTTCTTTGACTATTATAGCTCAGCACAGGCTATTTGAAATACTGTTTTCCTTATATGCTAGGAATAAAATTATACACCTTTCCACTTCATTAGAATGTAATTAGGAGTTTGTTTCCTTTTCTAAAGAGCAAGAGGAAGAAACATGCTTTTAGCAGGCAACCATCAAACGTGCTTTTAGCAGGCAACCAACAAAACATTGCTATGTATTTATTCACTTTGTAGGTCTGCAGGTACCCTGCTTTAAAGAGTAATCATTTCAGTTCAACCGCTTAACTTTTAACCTTATCAGAGAAGGGCATAGGCTTAAACTCACAATGTATGGTATATCCCTTAAATCTCTCTCTATGAAATTAGTTCATCTGATTTCTTCCTTATGTTTCAAATGATGCTGATCTTAATATATATATTACTGTCATTCACAGAAAGAATATAAAAAAGATTTGGAGACTAAAATTAAAGGGAAGGGAATGCAAACTGGCACAGATACACCTGAAATGCAGAGAGCCAAGAGAGCATCTGAAATTGCGAGTGAGGTTAATAGTTTTTATTCATTCATTCATTCATTTATTTATCCACTTTGCTATATTCATTGATTTAATTTATATACTGCCTTTCTCTCCTTTAGGACTCAAGGCAACTCACAACATGATTTTTAAAAAACCTATGTAATAGGTTACCACATTAAAACAAACTCCAAATTCATGTGATCTTTAAAAAAATTAAAAATAAGAAACAAAACCTGCTATTAAAAGGCCCTTAGCCTTGTTTAGGACTCTCTAAACAAACATGTCTTTGCCTGCTGGTGGAAAAATAGCAGAAAGTGGGGAGTGGGTAGCGTAGAGTTCCATATCCTGGGAAAGCCACCCAGAAGGTTCTTTTCTTTGTTGTCCTCATTCTATGGGCCTGTGGAGGTGGTGACACAAAGGCTGTCTTCTGAAGACCTGAGCAGGCTTGTGATGTATAATTTGAATAGAACTGTATAATTTTATAATCTGATGCTTTACTGTTACAAGATATGGAGTATATTCTCCACTGTGCATGACTGAAATAATTTGGTCTACATAGAGGAATTCTGTCTTCCATTATTCATACAATCATACTCTACCTTTCTTAGCTGTGATGGGCATAGAATATTTGTTTGAACTTGAAGAGACATAGTTGCCAAATGTGGGAAAAGACTAGGTACCTGACAAAAAATTTTGCAGACTTGAGATCTCGAGATCTCTTTATCAAGCAAGGTGTGACCAAAAGTTAGTGTAGTCATGTAGTCAGCATGTTTTCTTGAGACAGAGTAAGAAAGGGAGACTTAAGATTCTCCAGTGGTCTCATCAAAGTAATGTGATGACATTGTGGTTCATCCAAAGTAGCCTTTATGTTTAGTGGGAGCAAGTAAAAATAATAATTTTAAAAAATTAAAAAAATCTGTTATGAAAATTAAGAACCATAGTCCTTATTTTAAAAAGGTAGGAGAATCTGTGTATTAGAAGGCGAGCATAGAAGAACAATAAATGTTTAAAAGCTGGTGAAAACATGGTTAAAACTTTGAGGGAGGAAGATTTTGAGCAGAGGAAGTTTACATCCCACACTCCCTGCTGATTCTTTCTATAAGGAACCTCCACTCCAATTAACATCAAAAGGCAAAAACTAAGTTAGGAACCCCATCTCCCATTGTCCTGACTAGTGCCAGCCTCCTGTGTATTGAGAGACAGTTACTGTCCATGGTACTGATGAAGTAATCTATTTTACATGCTTCTGCATGTCATGAGTAGATACTAATGTTTATTTCAAATTAGATTTAGAGCTCATCAGTAAAGCCCCAAAAGTCTAAGGCACAATGGGGAACTTTTTTAAAATTGTGATTTCTACCAGATTGACTTAATTCTTTATATGTACTAATGTGAATTTAGCAAAATAGGTTACTTGTTGATGGTAATTCTCCGTTGCTATTGTTATGTGACATCAAGTCACTTCCAACTTAAGGTGACCCCTATGAATGAGCAATTTCTAAAATGTCCTGTCCTCACAGTACCTGCTCGGCTCTTGTAAACTCAAACCTGTGGTGTCCTTTAGGAGCCAATCTGTCTCATATTTGGTCTTCCTCTTTTCCTCATGTCTTCCCCTTTTTCAGGCATTATTGTCTTTTCCAATGAATCCTGCCTTCTCTCATAATTCTCTAGACTGGTATATATAACCAAATTCAACTTTATGTCCATGATCTTTTTATGTGGTTATATCCTGAAGAGATGAAAGCAAGAGGAAATCAAGTTAATGAATAAATAACACTACTGATGAAGTTAATAAATAAATAACACTACTGATGCGTTGTCTCCGATGCCTAAGCTAATCTGATGATGGAAGATTGCCAGAAGTTAATATGTCTCTGATTGAGCACTGCCTGGTAGAAGTGAACTTCACTGGATGCCCCCTCTGTGGGATTCCTTTTAATGTTAAAACGTCATAATTAGATATTAAACTTTACAATAAATTGTAATCCGTTATAATTTTAAGCCCTTGTGAGAGGGGGATGTTCATGCTCCCACTAGTGTGTGAATCTTCTGATACATGTGACTAGCCTATTGGCCTGTTCCCATTGCCAGCAATGCTCAACTTTACGAGTTTATTCATTACCCTGAGATCTGATTTAGGACAGTGAAAATGGGATAGCTGAAATAAAATGCTACAGAGATTTCTAAAACCTTTTCCTCTTTTTTTGTTAGAAGATGTTAAATAAAAAAAAGGAACATCAGATATATCTGAGTATCTCCTATGGTGCCAATGTTCTGTGTATATAAAAGGACATTTTGACCTTCCAGGGGGATATTTAATAAAAGCACACAGATTAAAGCATGATCCGTATAAAAGCTTCAGCTGCAATAGATATGAGTATTGCCTGTTCTGTCCTTCACAGAAGGAATACAAGAAACATCTAGAAATGGAAATTAAAGGGAAGGGGATGCAGGTGGGCATGGATACTCCTGATATACAACGAGTGAAGAGAGCTTATGAAATTGCAAGCCAGGTTAGTACGGAATGCAGTACTTCAATGGCATTTACGGCAAAAATATAATGGGCCTTTAAAAATGTGTTTTGACTAAACCCTTTTGAAAGTAGAAAGTATAGAAAATAATGAAACTGAATTGATTTAGAGCACAGCCAGGCATCGGGAATCTAGTTTGTGTTGCAAGCCCAGCTTTGAAAGCAGCACACATGAATTATTCCAGCTGTATAGAAATGAAAGGCGAACGATATTGTATGTCTAAGAATTCATTAATGTGCCGTTTCTTACAGAAAGAATATATGAAGCACCTGGAGACAGAAATCAAAGGGAAAGGAATGCAAGTGGGCACAGACATCCCAGAGATTCAACGAGCAAAGAAAGCTTCCGAGATAGCTAGCCAGGTCAGTAGGGAACGAAGAGTAATTAAGATTTTTTCCCCCGTTCAGGGATGTGTGACTGTACATAAGGTTGTTCACTTGGTTCCAATAAGGCTGTTTGCATGCACACAGCTTATGCTAGAGCATTTGTTTTAATGTGTGGATTCTGTGTCTGACATGAATGATTTAGACCAGCCATTCTCAACCTTTTTTTTTTTTTTTGGCCACAACCATAAACACAATACAAAAGAAATATAGGCCAGATCAGGATTGTGTAAGTGGCATAACGAACCTCATAAAGTGGTGTGTGAAGAGTTATTTCCAGTCTGTGGCTCCCTTCAAATGTTCCAGGGCACCCCAATGGGGCCATATGGCCCCCACTGAGAATGGCTGATTTAGACTTGATTCTGCATTACACTCAATCCTAGTTCACTGTAATTTTGTGGTATAGTGGAGTTCTTAAGCAGTAGTAAATTAGATTTGTGCTTATTCAGTTGTTGGTGTGTTGATATATGAAATGTAGATGTATTTTTGCATTGCTTTCCTACAGAAAAAATACAAAGACAAAGCAGAAAAGATGCTACATATGTATTCTGCTGTGCCAAATACTCCTGAGATTGAAAGGATTAAAAATACCCAGAGAAATATCAGTGTTGTAAGTAACAGGAATTCATATATTAGGAAAAACTTAATAAACATTCTTGTATTCTAAGACAACTGGAAGTCAAATTAGCTGCATGATATCCTTAGTAAAGGCTATTCAACCTCTGAACATTAATGTTTGTAATTGATAAACTAGTATAAAAATAATTTTAAAAATAATTGAGGTTTGGCAAGGATTGGTTTGATCCACATTCCAGGTATTTTTTCAACAAATTGTGTAAATGTAGTTAGAAATCAACGTGATTTTTACTGATTAATGCATTTGTCTGAGCTCTTCATGTGTAAATACGTATTCCAGTTACAATGGAAGCACAATTGTTATGCTCCTTTTCTTCTGTTCAGTGCAATTCATTTTTATATGTCAGTTGTGATATTTAGAATGTCAGTTTTTCATATTTGAGAGATTTCCTTTATTCCTTAAACTAAATTATCTTGCTAGACTCTGAGACATAATAATTAGCTTTGAAAATTCAAGGTTTTTTTGTTTTGTTTTTTGTGATACAAAATAAAATAATAATAATGTGCCATCAAGTCAGTTCTGACTTATGGTGACCTTTTTCAGGTTTTTCCAGGTAGAGAATATTCAGAAGTGGTTTACCATTCCTTTCTTCTGAGGATATCCCAGGACTATGCTGCTTGTCCCTCACACGCTGGTTCTACTCAGAGGGAATCAAACTCCCAACCTTTGGCTCCACAGCCAGATATGAAAACCACTGAGCTATCTATCCATTTGGGCAATTCCTCTGATAGTTACTGTATTGCATTTCCACAGAGTTTTGAAAACTTATCTGGGCAGTATAGCCAACTCTGCTCTATTAGTTTGAAAGTAATGAAGATGTAAAAGAGAGAGAAAAGTCATGCTTTGGGTATACAGTTAGATGTACTTCCTACTAGTAGAAAAGAAGTTTTCATTATTTTGAGTTGAGTGGGAAATGTACTCACTGTAGTGTGTGAGAAGGGGAGCAACAGAAAAAGGAAATATGTTTTTTTTTAAATGTTGGATTTGTTGCTTTGAGGGAGTTGGGAGCCTTGCACTTTTTATTTCTTTTCAAAGGAGGGCCCCAGGTATTGTTAGGCTGAAACTACTATCCGTCCTGGACAGCATAATCTAAGGTCAGGGCAAAATGGTACGTTCTGGGTATACAAAAACATATATACAGTATAGTTTTCTCTGCACATGAAAAAAATGAATAAATTTTAAACAGTTCTGGAACCTACATGGGTGTTAAAATTATCATGCTTACCTGAGTATTTTTTACATCTCATAGCATTATCCAGATAGGTTATCCATAAGAGTCAGTTCAGTTCGGTCTTTATTGTTTTTACCACTTTGGTCATCCAACTTCCACCAATTTAAAACATAAGTACAAATAATAATATATACACAAGCATGGTGCCAGCTGAACAGACACAATGCCACAGATTAAGAAGTACAAATACAAATACGTACATTCTCTAAAATGCTAGGTTAAAAACAAAATATAAAATACAAAAAGATTAAAATATAGTTTCAGTATTAAAAACCAAGTCATTTCATGTGGGTCTTCAGATGAGGTATGTGGTATTCCCACAACATAAAAGTTTATTATAACCACTGGCCATTCTTTTAAATCCTTTTGGGCTTCTCCAACGCATGCACATTTGTGCTGCAGAATAGCAGGATCATGCTTTTGAAGGCTTGGAATCAAGAGTTTGATTCTGTTTTGTTTTCACTGTTATTTTCTAAGCATTCTGCAATTTCCTGAATTTAGTTATTACAAGGAACTGTAGTTAAAATCAGAAGCAATAGTTTCCAGTCTCCTTGTACTTCAAGGAGTCAGGGAGGAGCACATGAATATGAAGGTAGCGTATCTTCATCTTGCAGAAAACTATGACTTCCCATTACATCTGTACTGGACAAAGCATTCCTGAAGAAGGAAGTGCACTTCTTTCAGCCAAGAGTTGTAATTCATTGCAGATGCTGTTTTAGAGCTTTTACATTGTCTAAAGATAGCCTCCCCAAGCTCTGGATAAGAGAACCTGCTGCTGCTGCTGCTTGGGTGCTAAAATGCCACATCTTCCAGTAAACTGAGGATGTGCCTGATGGTTACAAATATGAATGACTAGATGGGAGGCTGACACTTGTGGGTAATGTTTGGTTCCACCATCTATCTTTCAAATTCAATTTCCATTTAAAATTAAAATATACCCGTGACTGCAAACTATAAAGTTGGTGTCAATTAGAACTTGGAATACTGTATTCTTTCTTCCCAACTTTTGCTGCTGTTCCTAGCAGTATCATAATTATTTATTTATTTATTATTTATTTATTGGACTTATATACCGCCCCATAGCGCTACAAGCACTCTCCGGGCGGTTTACAATTTTTAATTATACAGGCTACACATTGCCCCCCCAGCAAGCTGGGTACTCATTTTACCAACCTCAGAAGGATGGAAGGCTGAGTCAACCTTGAGCGGCTACCTGGGATTTGAACCCCAGGTTGTGAGCACAGTTTTAGCTGCAGTACAGCGTTTTAACCACTGCGCCACGAGGCTCATTACTTTTTCTTTTTTTGGTCTAATGAAGGTACTTTACAAGAAGGGATTAGGTGCTGGCATAGCAGTAACAGAGACGCCAGAGATTGAACGAGTAAAGAAAAATCAACAAAATATTAGTGCAGTAAGTTTTAATATTGGCCCTTTGTACAACCAGTAACTATTACTACTACTATTATCAAAACACATTGGCTGAAATCCTGTTGTGTAGCTCTGCATGTGCAACAGCGATGACATAATCAGCAGTGGCAAATTCATGTTTGTTAAAGATTTCCTTTGGTAATTTTGGAGTGTGTGCAACTCTGCTGCATTGGGTATGAGTCATGTGCACCCAGATATTGTCCTTAATCTGTGTGCCTTCAATCAACAGCAAGGTTCCTGATAAGATGGGCACCAACAGGTGCTCACAACTCCACTTCCTTCTGTGCAGCTCTCTTCCTTCTCCATACAGCAATCGCGTTAGATTCTGGTTGCAACAGAACCCATCGTGCAGGGGGTGGAGTCACGCATGCATGCAGGGTCAAAGCCTTGCATATGAGAGGCACAGCCCCGCCCAATGGGGGTGGAAGTTAGAGGTTACATTGATCAACAGTGATTTGCCATTGCTTATAACATCATCTCTGTTGCATCCTTGTATAGAATAAGACAGTGGGAGTTCAACCATTAGCGGATGCAAACAAAACAATAAACTCAACTGTCTTGAAAGAAATGAATATTTTGTAATTTAACCCTATTTGAATCCTTCTCTTCTTAACAAAAGAATACAACCAACAATATTAGAACAATAAAACACTATAAATAAACCTATATTAAAGCCATTTGGTAAAGAGAAAAAAATTAAGCAACCCAATAGAGGTCACTTGGCGATGCCTTAAAATTAAATATAAATTAGTAATACATATTTTAATGATGAAATGTAAAGAAAATAATTTGTTATCCTTCACTGTACAATGTTAATAAACAATGAAGTAACTGGAACATCTGGAATTCAATTACCAGGTGGTCCTTAATGCAGTGCACTATTTATCATAGTTCATTTGCAATGTTATGGTTTGTGTTTTGTTTTGCAAATGAACAGGTGTATTATAAAGGTCCCCTTGGTAAAGCAACTTCTGTGAGTTTTACTCCAGAAATGGAAAGAGTCAAGAAGAATCAAGAAATTATCAGCTCGGCAAGTCCATTTTGTTTCTTTTTCTTGTTTCAGATTAATGAATAATTTTGGTCTTCAGTATGAAATGCACTCCACTGCATCATATCTATACATATGAATTTTTAATCTATAAAAAATTCAGTTTAAATGTGTACTTATCTGTGTGTTTTGATACAGCCAATAGCAGAATGGTGGGAAATTTACGTTTTTCTCTACTAGCTTTTTCTGATGACCACCAATGTTTTAAAAATATAATCTTTTTTATCATCCATTAGCCACTCAAATAATATGAATTACCTGCAAGATTAATGATACTTATGTTTTGATCCCAGTGCAGTCAGTACTCAAGGAAGATGAGGGAAGGCAATTTGCATGTTCCGTTAAGCATGGTTATTTTTGGCATTTGTGTACTGAGCAGTTTTGTGTATGATGATGCTGTGTTTTCCAGGTAAAATATACCAGAGATCAGCAAGAGATGAAAGGTAGATCCACAATGATTCTAGACACACCTGAGTTAAGACATGTCAAAGAGGCACAAAACAACATCTCAATGGTAGGGTATATTTTTCACATAGCTGGAGTTTTCTCAGTAACAGTTTTCTGAAGTTGATTGGAGTGTACCTTTTTTAACCCAGGTAACCAGCACACTTTGCGAAAGTATGGATCTATGTCTTCTTACACTGTGGTTAGTGGGGTGGATTTGCTAGCATCATATGTATGTTGTATTTTTGTTCCACGACACTAATAAAAACGGTTTTCCTAATATTTTATTGTGTGGCTTCTTAAAGACTATTTCACATCGTTCCTCTGCATCACAAAGTTTAACTGGAGAGGTTGATACACACACACTGCCTTGTGCCTGTCGCATGCTCTTAGATCGTCTGTGCGGGTGGAATTATGAATTCAGGTGTGCCGATTGTCTTTGCCTGCAAGATTGTGTAGGTGTGAGTGTATTGTATACATGCCAATAGGTTTGAAAACAGTCTAAAAATGTTTATTATTTCTTGGTAATGTACTAATATCAGGATTGGTATGGAGAATTTGTTTTGACTGTATTTGTATGAAGTTGAGCAGGTTTGGAAAAATTTTAATGCCGTCACTTGCACGTGAATGTAAATGATTGACACTAAACATATTAAACTGCATGTCACTCTGTTTATGCATATAAAATGTGATTATTTCAAAGATTTTAGGTCTAGTCAAGGAAGATACCAGGAATTACCCACATGTTGGGAAACTTACCGACAATGAATAATGCATGTTCGTGGTTATGGACTGGTTAATATGAAAACAAAAATGGCAGGGCACAGCAGAGTTATTGGTGACTGTTTCCTCTTTTGCAGCTGTTAATATTGCTTGTTGCTGGGCAGTAAAATAGTTATTGTTCTTCTCTAGGTCAAATATCATGAAGACTTTGAGAAGACGAAAGGGAGAGGATTCACTCCAATAGTGGATGACCCTGTGACTGAAAGAGTGAGAAGAAATACCCAGGTGGTTAGTGATGCTGCCTATAAAGGTGTTCACCCACATATAGTTGAAATGGACAGGAGACCTGGAATAATTGTCGGTAAGTTAGCATCACATGTTTTACTGACCCAAAGGCCAGTCAGATGGGTCTGTTTTGACCAGCTCTGATTATGTTGCTTTGTGACTAGAATTATTTTGTGCTTTTAGAATTGCAGTGTTATTTCCACTTGATGTTATGTCACATACAATTTCTTTTTCAGGTTAAAATGGTAGGTCCATTTCTGGGTTATTAGACCATAATTACTATACAGCAAAATTGTTAATTGTAGTTATCTCTGAAGTAATGAGAATATTAATTAATGCAACAGACGACGAGGTGAATTTCAATCAAAACATTAATTTGTTCTACAAAGGCTGAAATGTTTAAAAAAGGAAACATAATGTAGAACGTTCTACAGTCTTTAACCTGTGTAAGTTTTTTTTAAAGGAAAAGAAATGTCGAAGAAATTGGCATTTGACATTTTCATGTACAGTACAAAAGGACTTTGGATTCATGATTTCACTGTCTCTGAAGGCAAGGTTTTTATTGTTGAAAAGAATGAATTATTTTTTGTTTGTGAAGTCTGACTGTTGACCCAGGTATTGAAATAAAAATAATACATATCAGTACTCCTGCTGAATTACAGTTGAACATTTTTCTAAAGCATTTGTATAGAACTAGAATGTCTATAAGTGACTTAGGAACCTATGAAATTGCAAACATTTTTTCAGATGCTACTTTTCAGTCCTCACAAGTGCATCTGTAATCATATGCACAGTTTACATCAACAGAGTTTATTGGGTCTTCAGGTGTGGGGAAGTAAGATTTCATTTTTACTCCAGTGTGACTGTATTTCTTTCTGATTTATCATTGGGAAGAAAAATATTTTGAGAAATATAGACATATATAGTGTCTCTTTAGTTCTGCAACCACGTCTTGGCTAACAATCAGTACTAAGTTGCAACTAAAGTAGGCCTACTCCCACCAAGATCTACCCGTATCACCCGAGCGAGTCAGGAGGTGAGGCTGAGGAGCTTGACGCCGAGGGAGGCCCGGAAGAAAAGGACAAGAAACCAGGCCTTCTCAGCGGTAGCTCCTCGCCTCCAGAGATTCGTGCGGCCCCTTCACTGGTTATCTTTAAAAACCAATTAAAAACATGGATGTTTACGCAGGCCTTCCCTCCAGTTAATATTTGATTTTCTCTTCTTAGTTTATTTTTTGTTTTCCCTTTTCCATCTTGTAGAACTTGTCATTTGATGTAATAATTTCTTTTTTGTTATATTTACATGTTGTTTTATGTACAGTGGTGCCCCGCATAGCAAGGTTAATCCATTCCGGATTAACCCTCGCTATGAGGAAACATCGCTAAACGGGACGCAAAATGCCATTGGAACGCATTAAACTTAGTTTAATGCGTTCCAATGGCTTCTATACTCACCGTTAAGCG